CCTGCGGCCTGGCTCCTCGTACGCGCTGCGCCGCCTCCTCGGCGACCCCGGCCTGCGAGGTGCCACCGAGCCGGACGCGACCGGCGGTGGGGCCGGTAGCCTTGCGGCCCGGCACCCCGTCCAGGTGGCCGCCACCATCCTCGGCTCCACCACCAGCGCGTTCCTGGGGGTCCTGGCCGACGACCTGATGCTCCAGGACCTGGCCCGCGGCTTGAAGAAGTCGAGCTCCTTCAGCAAGCTCTTGGGGGCCTCACCCATGGCCCCACGGAAAAAGGCCAAGATCCGAGGGGGCCTGCCAGCCTTCACAGAAAGCGCTCGGCGACCCACTCCGGGGCCCTTGGCTGGCTTAATGCCCAGTCTGCCCCCTGCAACCTGAAGGGCCTTGGGGTTATGGCCTCTGTGATCCAACAGGCCTGCCTGGGGTGGTCTAAGCCAGCCCGGTTCTGGGGCCCAGCACCGGCCGCCCCATCTCGCTTCCGACTTCCCCCTCTGCAGCCTCTTTTTCCTGGGTGGGCCTGCTCCTCCGGCGTCCGGCTTTCGTCTGAAACTCTGGCTCAGAGGTGGGATTCTGCAGGCGTCCATGGAGAAACCCAGCTCCAGGCCCGAAGACGGGGCTTGAAAGTTGGGGTCAAAGGTTAAGGGGCAGCAGCCGGTCTGGCCCCTGCATGCTTGACGAGGTGGCTCTTCACACTCCCAAGCCAGAACTGGAGAAAGGGTCTCTGAAAGGTTCCTATAGTGGATTGTCAGCTTCAAGGTACATGGTGGTTTTGTAATCTGAGGCTTTTATTCTGTTTTTAAAAACGAAATGAGGTAAAGCCACTTTCATAATAACCTTTGAAAATTATATTTTTCCATTTTTAGGCAAAATGCTCATTTTCAAACTTTTGCTAAATATTTTGGAATATTATTTAAAAATAGATGAGCAAGATCTAAAGAAAATTAATCCCCACAACAAAACTTTTTAGAAGTTTATCTACCTCATTTTGGACAGTCTAGATTCTGGAGTCTTGAACAGGGAGTAATCAGTGTGACCCTCAGGAATGGAACTAATTTCGCTTGCACTGTGACTGCTACTGGGAAAGAAGTGCATCTTGGGAGTGAAAGTGATGGAACAGAGAGCAGAGATATTTTGGCAAATGGTCTTAGACTATGGTGAAATATGTGTGTTTGGCACCAGTAGCTGGCTATTGATATGGCATGAATATATCATTTTTTTAAATTGTGACTTATTTGTGAATTGCACCTTTGTGTCATGTTTGTGAGTCTGTGGTTTTTACATTTGGCTGAGCCATTCGGTTCAATGGGTGAATATTAAAAAAAAAAAAAAAAGTCATAGCATTACACCAGAAAAACGATTGAATAGTAATTGATACAACTACAGAATTCTTTTATAGGAAAGTTCTGAAAAAACAAAAAGTGCATGAGAATACATTTTTAAAACATTGGAAAACAATTTATTCTTAAATAGCAAGTGAAATGTCTTTGGTAAGTGACCTTGGATGGGTGGTACAATGTCTCTGGACCTTTTTTCCACCCCTTTGTTCCTCTCTGTCAGTTGAGCAGGCTTGTAGATACTGCCAAGATGTCCCAGGTTTGGCACAGTCCAATTATAATGGCACTTTTTCATTTTAAAGATGTGAAATCATTGGGGATAGTGGCACATACCTGTAATCCTGGCACTTGGGAGGCTGAGGCAGGAGGATCACTGTGAATTCAAGGCTCAGCCTGGGCTACAAAGTGAGTTGAAGGCCAGTCTGAACTACATAGTGAGACCCTGTCTCTTAAAAACAAAACCAAAAAAAATGAAATCTATGTGCTCAACCAACTTCTGCTTTTGCAAATTATGTTTGCATGTGATTAGCTATATGAAATGGTTTTTATAGTACAGGATAATGGGGCTTTCCTGTTCCCCCAAGTATGTATCAGTGAGGCCTTTGAAATTATTAAAATGGAATGTTTTGATTTAAACAATGAAATAAACAGTCCCCAATTTATTCCTGCGAGTGAGATGTACTTCCCTTAAACATTCTTCAACTTTCATATTTTTTTATCTACTTAATTTCTTCCTTTCCCCCTCATTCTTCTCCTGGTTCTTTCACGCATACTATTATTTAAAGAGTTGGGATTTCTCTACAAATAAGAGTCAACTTGTTTGTCAACACATGGATACGGTAGCCAAGAACTATAGGTAAGTGTAGGCCCAGTTCTGACCCTTCTTACCTTACTTCCCTGGAACTCTAGCTAGTTTGCATAAATTACTTCAAAATGCAAATTAAGTCTGCCTCTGCAGAAAAACTGTGGGAGGCAATAATTACAGCAATTTGAGTAGCTGCAGCTCTAGAAGACAGAATGAAATATTGAAGATTTTCTGTAAGTGAGAGGCCTGATTGATACAGGGTAAGAAAGGTCGCAGACATAGATATGACTTCCTTGAGAAGGACAATATAATAGTAACTAACATTTATTGCACACTTCCATCAAAGGAGGCTTATTCAAACAGCCACAGGATTCTCTTTCTGAAGGATTTCCTGCACGTCTCCAAGTGAAACAAAATTTAGCAAGAATTTAGGATCGGGAAGCCTAAAGCTCAGGTGTTAGAAATCGCTGCTATTTCCTCACAGGCCAAGACTTTCCAAACCATAAGGTAGTCAGTAGGAAATTAGTTATAAAGTTTTCAAGAACTGTATGTTTAATTAAAAAAAAAAAAATTACCCAGCAGTAAGCACACCTGCAGAAGGTATTCTCAACAACTGACAAAAAAATTGTTAAAGCAGTTTCACTTGTCACAGGTTAACTCAGCAGGTAACTGTCACGGGGAGAACAACTCCCTTTCAGTGAGAAGCTAACTGTTGACGTAGGTGTGCATGAGTCAGCCTGAGCAGACTTTTTAATTAAGTTCTACATTTCTTTTAATGGAAGGTGGTGCTATTACTCAGACTCTCCTAATGGAGATTCAGAACATGGGAGAGATATATAAATTCTGTGCCTATTAAGCCAGTGCCAGGCAGCGTTTTAAGCACTTTGTAGTTACCAACCAGCTTTGCAAGGTATGTACTCAGCAGGAAACTAAGCCTTGGAGGCGTTGTAAGCCACCTGTCCGCGCCTCACAGCTAGTGAGTTGGGAAGACATCCTGGGGCTCTTTTCCACGGTGCTCAGCGAACAGGTGGTCTCAGCTCAGACCTTTACTGATTTCGTGACCACAGGTGAGTCGCCCAAATTCTCCAAGCTCTCTCCTTCCTCCAAGGGACACAGACTAGAAGAACCCACCCCGAGGCTTCGGGGAGGGAGGGTCAGGCTCTTCCTGAGCCGCAGGGCTCACCTAAGAAATCCCGGGGTGCTGAGCTGGCTCCACAGGGGCCCACGGCTGCGTTCCACAACCACACAGGACTGATTTGCGGATTTGTTCTAACATGATCAGCATCCTTTTACCGTATTACTTGCATATGTGAATAACTGGCTGTACTAGGAAAAACATTCCCACAAAAGGGAAACTATCCCATGTTCTCTATGTGATATCACATTAATTAAAACAGAAACAACAAAGTTTTTCTTAACCTACATTCCTGCAGCATCCATACCCAATCCTTTAGACCTAAACTGCTAATTATTCAGGAGGGGTGAAACCAGCCCTCAACACACAGTCTAATGCTGTGCCCACCCGGGGCCCGTATTCTTTCTTCCTCCTCCCACGCCTCTTTCTTCTCTCCGCTCTACTCCTGGAAGAGACTCTTCGAAATGCGTTCGTACATCCTCTGCGGCTTTCCAGATGGCCTTCTGCCTTGAACTGGGCTCCCTCTCCGGGACTGCCACACCTCCGGACTTGAACCTGTAAAGAAGGGGTGACCCAAGGTGTGCCTGACCCGTGAGCCAGAGGGGGAAAAAACCCACGGAAACATCCAGGCCTCTCCCACTTGGGGAAAAATCCTCTAGCAGACAAGACGAGCCGATTTAAATACCAAAGACAAGCGATGAACATCCATGGTGACCCCTAGCTGCGGCCAGACCGTGACGGTAACGCTGCGCAGGTCTCGAGAGGATTTCACAGCAAGCGCTCCTCCCGCCTCCCCAGGCCGCCAGTTTCCCTGGCACCTCGCTCCACCGCCTCGGCTTCCCCTGACCTAAATTTCCTACACGGCTTCTGATTTGCCTCTGAGTGGGCAGCACGGCCACCCGCTCCCCGGGGACCCCGAGGAGGCGCGGGCGGCGCGCCCCGTGCGCAGCAGGACAAGCCGCAGAGCGCGCCCGCGCGGACGCTGCCTCTCCCGCCGCGTCAATTCCCAGCCGAGCGAGAGGAGCGCGCTCACTGAATCCGCCCGCAGAGCGGCGGCGGGCGCGGGCGGCTTGTTGCCTGGCAACAACTCCAGGCGTCGCCGGGCCTCCGCAAAGCCGGAAGGCGCTGCAGCCGCAGCCGGGGGGTCGCGCGGAGGGGGTGCGGCGAGGACACGAAGGCGCGGGCGGCTGAGGAAGCGGGCAGAAGCCCCGGCACGGACCCGCGCCGCCCTTTTCCTCGCTGGGAGCCGAGGCGGGCCGCTTCGCCATGCTCGCGCGCCCTCCCCCGCGCTGCTCTGCGCATTTTCCAAAGAAGGCCTCGTGGCGAAGGAGAGCGAGCCAGCCTTCCCTCCTTGGGCGCCGGACCGAAGCAAGCGGCCGAGCTCCAGCCCCCGGGCCCAACATCCAGGGCTCGCAGGACGCGGCCCAGGCGGCGGGGGCGAGCCCGGGGTGAGCGGGCGGGCGCAGGCACAGGCGCTCACCCAAGAGAAAGTCCAGTGCCCCCTGCTGGCGGCCCCGCGCAGCTGCGTTCCCCCGTTTCAGGTCCAGGCCCCTGGTGCCAATAAAGAACATCTGCGGTGAGCTCCAACAAAGAACATCTGTAGTGAGCTCATTCTTGCCCTCTGAAGAAATAACAGTGTGGCAGGCAGAGAACTGGGGCGCCAAAGAGCAGGCCAGAGGGAAGGGCCGGCGCGCAAGGCGTGGTCCCACTTTTGGGTCCGGCAGAGTCGGCACAGACCCCTCATACTTACTTCAGCAAAACAAAACAAACAAACGAAAACCCCAGTACAAAACCGAAGTTCCATTTCACCGGAAGAAAGCAAACACCCCCGTCTCCCCGCCCGCAAGCTCCGCCTGTCCAACCAAGCAGGGAGTGCTTTTGTTTGAAATACACAATTCCCATTGGCTTACTAGACGGCGTTCAACGCGTTTCTGAGAATACATAATGGACGAATGCGAGGGGGACTGTACTGGGCGAAAGGCAGAAATTAGTAGCTTGCATTCAGAGCGCGCCTCGGAGCGAGCTCGCTGGGCTGAGGCCTCCGGAACCGAGGCCCCGCCCACAGCGTTCAAAGGAAAGGAGCAAAGCATAACGTTAGAGCCCGCAATGGCCTCCCCAGGAGTCCCATATGTTTTTTATAAAAAGGCACAGTGTGAGCATTGTTCTGTGCTCAATAGCGCGACTGTTGTAACTAATGCTTTTGGTATGAATACGACCATTTAAAATTCCCAACCCGATGCACTTTGTGACAATACACATCAGAAAACAAGCCCAGAAGCAGAAATTTCTCACTTGGGGGTCAGTTGGCCTTAAATACACAGACGCATGCCTTTTAATCTGCCCAACTTCCAAAACTACCTGAACCTCAGCAGAACGATGCTCTTGTCCGGCCTGCTGTTTGCAGCTACAGTACTGAAGCAGCTTTTCACAATTTCTTCTTCAAACCTGGTCCTTGCACGCAGGGCTGGTGCTCAAGTGGGGTTTGCCCTGCGTTTCACACCGCCCCAGCCCATGCTGGGATCAGCCTTTCGGGTACAATGGAATCTGCCTGTCCAGGCCCTGGCCCTGTGTGGAAGGCCTCCACCGGCCCTCTCTCTCTCCCCCAGCTTCCACCTTAAACTGCCTTCCTCAGGCCTCCCTGACTGGGCAGAGCTGGGTGAGCTCAGTTTCATCTTTACTTCCTTGCTTCTTGTTTTGTAGTACTGGGGAGCAAACTCAGGGGGGTTCTGCCTGCTAGGCAAGTGCTCTACCACGAAGCTACACTCCCAGTAACACTCCCCTTTAAATTTTCAAGACAGGCTCTCACTAGGGCTGGCCTTTAACTGGAAAGCCTCCTGCCCCAGCCTCCTGAGTAGCTGGGATTATAGGAGGCACTATTCCTGCTACCAAAGCTGCGGGTTTAGTGAAAACCTGCTAAAGAGACCCGGACTGAGTGGATCAGACCCAAGCTTTGTGGTAGTGACAGAATCCCCAGGACAGTTAGGGGTTACTAGTAGTGGTGGCGTTGAAGGCCCCGTGTCTACCAGCCCTGCTGTTCGCCAGCCTGGCTCTCCAGTCTTCTGTATGTTGCCAGAGCAGACTGATGAGTTGGGGATATAGGTCAGCGGCGCAAGCACCTGCTTGGCAAAGTGCAAGGTCCTGAGTTCGATTCCCAGTACCGCCCCCCCCAAACAACAACAGCAACAAAAACAGACCTGACTGATGATCTGCCAAGTCCCTCTTCTGCTGTGGGTTGGTGTGCAGTTTGTAAAAAGACCCCTTCCCTCTTTACCCATGTGTGTGCAGGACATGCCCCACACACACACACACACCTCGTAGGAAATTTTTATTGGAAAAAATAAAAGGCTGTTTTGCACCTTAAATTGAAGTGCTCCTCCGACTATCTCCCCTCCAGCCAACTCTTACAGGACCCCTCTCATCACAGAAGGGGGACACTGCAGGTTTTCAGTAATTCCAAAGTAACCCACAAGACTTGGGGGAGGCGGCGTGGGATAGTGGGAAGGATTCTCCCGGGAAGCAGCTAGGCCTGCTCGTCCCTGCTCCATCGATAAACCAGCACCGCCCCAGATGCGCGCGGGGTGGGGGTGGGGGTTTACAGTGCTCCCCACCGCGCCGGCTGGAACTAGGTAGCGGGAGGAGAGAAGGGCTGTTTATCCGGAGGGCAGGTCCTTGGGGGCCAGGATGGCCTGGGAGAAAGGGGCCGATGGCCCAGGTCGCTCCTGACGGCGTCCAGTTGGTCCTGCAGGAGCCGGACACGCTCGTCCAGACTGCGCTGCCGGGCCAGGACCGCGGCCTTGTCAGCCAGCAGGGTGCAGTAGGAGCGCACCTCCTCGGCCGGCAGCGCCCGCGCCAGCACCTCGCGCAGGGCCCGCTCGCGCCGCGACACGTGCTCCTTCAGCTCCTTGGCGTCCTCCTGCTGTCGCTGCAGAAGCCGGAGCCGCTGCAGCAGAGAGGCCTGGAGCCGCCGGGAGGGGGCGCTGTGAGCGCGCGGCTCCCGGGATGGTGCCAGCGGAGCCCGCGGCCCCTCCCAGACCAGCTCTCCGCCTCCCCCAATTTGAACCCGCTTTACCCGCTCATCAGGGTCGCCATCCGGGCCCACCCGGGCCAAGGCGCGGTGCACACGGGCCAGCCGACTGCCCAGCAGCAGCAGGAGGCCCAGCACGCGTTCTAGGTCCGCCAGGAAGCGGCCGAACCGCTCCAGCTCCCGGGGTGCACAGGACTGGCCCACTGCAGCCTCCAGAGCCGCCCTGCGCCTGGCCCACGCCTCAGCCACCCCTTGCAGCTGGTCCTGCTTGGCCCGAAGGTCCTGCAGCATCTCCTGGAGGAGGCCGGCTAACTCCACCTGTAGGGGGTGCAGGCTAGGTACTCAAGGGAGCCTGGCCCGCTTCTACCAGCCTCCAGGCGCAATACCAGCCCTCTCTGAACTCACTTTCTTGGCCTGGATGCTGACGCCACATGGCTGGCGGGGCACAGGTTGGACGGTAGCATCTTCTGGCCTTGTCTCCTGAGAAGCTGGCAGCAGCTGGGTGAAGCTGAACTGAGGAGACCTGAGGACGAGGCCAGAGCTCCCTGGGTTGCCCTGCCCCACCCTGCAGAGGTATAGAATCCTGGTCCCTGCTGCCCTCACTTACCCTGGCTCAGAAGAACCCGCTGCCTCCTGTCCAGCCTCCCCGCAGGCTGGCCTCCTGGTGGCCCAGACCTCTGTCCCAGGGATCAGCCCATCCAGCAGGCCCAGGGCCGGCTCTGGGCTGGGCTCAGAGGCAAGAGTGTCAGTCAGGGAGGGATCCAGTCTGGCCAGCTCCTGAGCCAGCTCCTCCAGACGCTGGCTGGGCCATGTTGGTCTGGAGCCCAGATGGCCAGTGCCCCAGGCCAGGGAAGTGTGGTAAGGGGGCCCTGCGGTTCCACTGCCTGAAGAGCCCAGGGCATCAACTGGGGAAGGCTTGAGAGGGTCATCTTCTGCACCTGCAGGGGTTTCAGGGGTCAGCAGTCCAGTGGAGCCGGTGGTAGGGATGTCCCCATTTGCAGTTTCGGGAACGCCATAGCTTGTGGGCTTCGAGACACCCACAGAACCATTTACCCCCTGCCAGTGGACATCTGCCCCTGCAGTCCCAGGACATTCATGAAGGGCACGTTCTGGGGGGGGCGTAGCCTGGCCAGTTCTTTGGCCCAAGCCAGTTCCAGAACTCTGGTCAGAGGCATGGACACTGGAAACGGAAGAGACAGTGAATCAGAAAAGGCTCTGGCCATGGATAAGCAGGGCCTTCCAGAGCAGCCTGGCCTGCCCACCCCACCACATGGGCTTCCAGCCTCCTTGTAGGACAGGGTCTCTGCCAGGCTGGCCTTTCTAGATGTATGTGTGGGAGGGGAGTGTCTCACCCTGCTCGGGAACCAGAGGGAATTCACCTGGCTGATGCTCCTTCGACGGAGCAGGACTCTGGAGGTGGTGTCATCCTGTCCAGTGGGGCTTCTTCCAGGAACACATCATCGTCAGGAAGGGAGGGCAGCCGGGCAGGCTCCAAGCAGGTCTCTGGGACCCTCTGCTCACAGTGGGCTGGGCTGCTCCGAGGGACCTCTGCAGGGCACACCACCGCAGCCTCTTTCTGAGGCAAAAACCTGGAGGCAGGACCCCACACTGACCACGGTGGCATCAAAGAGGAGGCCTCGCGCCATACCAGAGAAACAGGAAGGGACACAAATTGCAAAACAGAGTCAGAAGGCTGGAACTAAGGGCAGGCGGAGGCCCCGTCTCCTCTCTTGAGCAAGGCTGCATCCTGTGGAAGCTGCGTCCCCACTTCGTCCTGAGTGACCCATGTTTCTCACCTGGAAAATGTGGTCAGAAACAGCGGCCTCGGCGTTTCTGCTCCGTGGGGAACCACCTGGAAACGCGAACAGAACCACCGATGAAACGCACCAGACCCCACGCTCCCCTCCTCCGCCAGTCTGCACCCTGTATCTTCCCCACCTGGACAGTGGCCATGGCTCCTCCTGGCCCTCTCCAGGGACCCAACGCCTCGCCCGAAGCACTCCGACGCTGACGGCCAGGCCTCTGGGCATTGCCCAACTTCTCGGACCCAGCGTCCAGCTCCACCGTGCTTTGGGGTTGCGTCTCCCGCGGCCCTCTGAACACAGCCCTCGCCTCGTGTGGCAGTTCCTGGGGCTCGGGCCCGGCGAGCCCCGGGCTGGCGCAGGTCTCACTCAAGGCTTCTCCGGGCGGCCCACCGCCCTGACCCACGCGATCCAGTTTCCCCGGCTCCGAGAAACACCACTTCCGCTGCTGGCTGGCGAGGCGCCCGCGGCCCGCGGGTCCTGGCGCGGGCACCCGGCAGT